GGCTCTTGCCTTTGCTTGTGCCGATACCATCCTCAGTTTACTACATGAACTACGGGTGCCTGTTCGTCTTCCTGTTTTGATGCATTGCGACAACTTAAGTGCAATGTATTATATCTATTATATTACTTATAAGTTTGAATTTCAACTGTACTCCTTTATGTTGACTAGGACTCCTTATCCCTAATTGTATATAAACGTTGTAAAGCTCAGTTATACAATTGAATGAGAATACGTAAACTTCACACAGTGGAAAAGGGTTTACCGGAGATGACAGAGCTGGGGATATAACTGAAATGTTGGGAAGCATTACCTAAGACTATCGTCCGTAGGGCCACCGCGAGTAGTAATCACAAGTCTGCTGCAGAAGAAATAGAGAAGACGGTGGAAATTAAATGTCTCAAGATGTCAAAGCTGCAGAGAGAGGCCACTGGTGCTCTATCGGATCAAAGTTTAATTTTCCCGGGAATTTGAAGCCTAAGTCCAGGAAGAAACATGTTGGAGCAGTGGACAGGCTAGCATACCAGGTTCCACTTGAATAGGCGGAGGGGTAAAAGATTTACTGCCAATGGTTTTTAAAGATTTATTAACAGACGGAGCTTTTCTGACAATTTCAAATAAGTTTGAGGTTTTGTTGTTGGCTAGTACTGAATTGAAATCAAAACAAAACTTAAACTTCTCCAAATAAAATGCAGTTTTGGGTACCCACTTTCAACCTTGAATTTTTCTTTGTGGCTTCATTTGAAATCTAATGAGAACATGCATGGGTTGTAAACTGAAAACATTCATAAACAAAACCTCCTTAATTTGTTTCATGTAATCTGATTGTGAATTGTTGGACCAATTTAATGTGTGAAATTAACTAATAAAACCTACAAGTGAAGAAATAAATTGGTAACGAATTCGTCATCCACAGAATTCAAACATAAATTACGAATACAAAAGTAAATACTTCTTAATCACTTGAGCTACAAGTTCCTCGCAAATCAATACAACACACTTAAAATATCTTTAACCAATAGATCACTATGGTGATCACTGGTTTTGAATGTATATGTGTACCCAAAATCCTTATTTTAAAGGCCCACCCTTCAATACCACCCCTTTGAAGCTACTATTGATAAGCCTACATTGCGCACCATATGGTGCATTTTTACACATCCTTCCTTGTCACTGTCTAACAACAGAAAACTACTTTTGAGTATGTCAATCAATGTCTCCACACACTTTCCTGCTTCCCTCTTTGAATCGATGCCTTTAAACAGCTCAAGTCCAACCCCAAATTTCACTAAATCATGGACCAATATATTACTGCTTTTCGGATATATGCAGCAGAATAGAAACAATGATTTCGCTTCCTCACTCCCTAAACATTCGTAACACAAATTTATTTTCCGATACACTTCTTGTATCGGTTTTGGAATGTCTCGTGGGCAAGGATTTCTTAGTTGTCTAAGTGCATCATCCCACATTTGCTTGCTTTGGTTCTGCAGTGCTCCTCCAACAGCTGAAATTACAAGTGGCGAACCAGCACATTCAGTCAGAACCTGTTGTGCTACCACACGTAGCTCAGGAGATTCAATCGAACTGCCTGCCATCTCTCTAAACAAACTCCAAGCTTCTTGCTCTGGCAAAACACCAATCGGGAAACTCTTTTTGGTTCCGGCCAGATGGAAGCTACTTTGAGCTCTCATGCTAACTCTAAATGCATCCAGGAGTCCCAACATAAAGATGATCTTGCACTTTCCGTTGGTTGATCCATAAGGGATTCCGATGGCCTCAAGATCAAGCATTTTCCGGACATCAAGCAATACTACAAGCAACCTCCTAGAGTCTTTGGACATTCTAGCACGCAGCACCTCTGCCCGTTCAAACAAACTCCCATTTCCCAAATTCAATTCTAGATTATCTGCAATCTCATCTTGTATTCGTCTCAAGTTCGGATCAAGGGACGCAACAGTCATGATAACTTCTTCAAATAAACCTTGCTGCTTGACTCTCATCATGAACTCTTTCGTCGTTACTGTATTTCCTCTGTTAATTTTCCCACAATCAATGCTAATCAAGTTGATATTTTCATCCTGCAGAGCCCTCAAGACCTCCCTTGTACACGGTAATCTGTATTCCAAGCGCTCGGAAAGTTTCATGGCTACTGGTGGAGCAGTAAAGTTGGATCTTCTCGAGGAGCTAGCCCCGTCACGAGCCATAACAGATTTGATCATACAATGACAGAAACGAAGAATGAAAATAAGCAGCTGGTAAAGAACAATATCGATTTGATTATACGGTGTACACCTCCCTCCGTTGAATGGTTTGCTAAATAGAGATACGTTCTTGATGCAGAGTATTATCACAAAATCAACTTAATTTGTCAGCAAAAGAAAAAAGGAAACTGTGGCTAGTCAAGTCTACAGTCTACATTTTCAAAATCAAGCAGTTAATATTTTTTATTTTACGAACAAACATGAATTTGAAAAGTAATTAGCCACGGCTCTGTTGGAAGATTCTTGTCAAAGTATGTCTATGTCATTGTATTAGCAGTCAAAGGTAGCAGCCAAGGCTCTCTAGACAACTAACAATTAATTATACAAAACCTAATTCATGGCGCGGTGCATTTTGTTGGAGGAATTTTTGTTAATTAATATTGTCTGCAAAGGAAAGAAATAACTAGTAACACGACTGGGATTTGGTCTAAGGGTTTGGAATTATCTGGAGTTGAATGATAAAAACGAATTTGAACTATATTATTACTAGTTCATTGTAAGACTTAGCCTACTTCATTGTCCCTTAATGTAGATAATATCGTTTGTTAAAAAAAATGAAAAATAAAAAAATCGTTTGTTAAAATAAAAACTAATTTACGCGCCGATTGTTTTGCATTCCAAAAATGCACCCCACATGTCCTGCATTTTCCATGCCAGCCGTTAACAATTAACAAATGTTTAACACAACAAAAGGTATAAATTGAAATAATTTTGAAACTTTTCTATGTTTGGATGAAGAAATTTTAAGATTGCTACGGAATTTTAATATGATGGAAATTGAAATGACAGGATTTTATTTTCAAGAATTTGTGAATTTTCTTGTTTGGTTAACTAAAAGAACAATAGAATTGAATACGAAATTTGTTATTTTTAAACTCTCAATCATAGAAATTGGGAAATGACACCTATTTATATGTTTATGAATCCAAACAAAAGAATTGGTGCATGTCAATTTATAAATTTTAACTTGTATCCAAATTCTAAGTTTATTTTTTTCATCCAAACGTAATATTAGAATTGAAGAGACGACCGACCAAACCAAAAACCAAGGGTATACAATACATCGTAGAATTTAGTTTTATTATTATTAGAATTAGTTGTCATGCGGGCCAGGATTAATCCCTTGCCTATTAAGTTTCGAATTAGTTGTGTTGAAGACACGACTGACCAAACCAAAATCCAAGGGTATACAATACATTCATGCAATTCTGAAATCTCGAATAAGAAAATTAAAATCCTATGACCTATTTGAAAACCATTCTAAAGTTTTGTTAGCACAAACCATGTCCTCTTAGTGTAATTTTTTTTTTTTATAGCTAGTGGCATACATTGATGAATAGGATCTCACATCGGTTATATGACAAAATAATATACAATTGACATATGTGAGTTTTCACTAGTAATATTATCGAGGCCTTTTTGAAGAAAGTGGCTTGAGTTGGAGAATAAGATATCACATTGGTTATATGACAAAATAATATACAATTAATAAATGAGCTTTCACCAGTAATATCATTGATGCCTTTTTGAAGTAAGTTGAGGTTCCACCATAAAATCAATTGGCTATGTAAGGAATAACCCAACCTCATATAAGCATGCATGGTTTGGTCCCTTACCAATGTGGGACTTTGTCCTCAAAATCACATGACCCATCACTTGTGGCAAATTTTAAATCTAACACATGGACAACACGAACGAGGTGACTTGGAGCATGTGTTCCCCTTGGGCTTCACAGTGGGCCAACCTGCTTTGATACCATGAAGCAGTTAGGGCTCGACCATAAAACCAATTGGCAATATAATGAGTAGCCCAACTTACTTACAAGCTCTTGCATGGCTTGGTCCCTCATCAATGTGGGACTTTGTCCTCACAATCTCACACTTTTGTGATAAAACTCAGCACCTAGTAATAGATGGTTAAGTTTGTTGGTATATGGTCCAGCCCATGATGAATGTTCTAGATTATTCTAGTAAGCAAGTGAGGTGGTTGGAGCATGCTAGACGATTTTAGCAAGTTATTAAGTTGGTGGAAGAAGCTAGAAAGTACTAGCTTCCTTGGTTGCAAATGGAAAGATCTAGAAGCTACAATTTTGTGGCTAGTCTAGAATTATCTAAGCTAGAGGTTTGTAGAAGGAACTAGAAACTAGTAGAATGCCAAGCCCTCACCTATAAATATGGGTGTGATGTTGTAGTGATGTAACCAGTCAAGAAAGAAGTGAGTGGCAAAGGATCAAGTCCAAAGCTAGAGTTCCACTCCAAAAGTAAGAGTGAGAGTGTTCCACCACACATTGTGAGTGAAGTTTAGAGTGATAGAAAGTGTGTGTTCTACTTTCTTGTATCCATCAAGCCTTATGTTTGGCTTGGTAAAACTACTCTTGTTGCACTCATCTTTTTCATTAACTTGAGATATTCAACATCATTAATGTTAATGGTGGATTTGTTCAGCCTATAACTCTAGAAGGCAGAAATCAACATATAACTTGGAAATTGTATACTGGACAACAGAAATGCAATTGTTGACCTTTCATGAGTCCAAAAGTCCAGTTGAGTTTCTTTCTGACTGTCGTTCAGCTCCTTAAGAAACCTACACAGAATCTCTCTGTAGGAGGGCATTCTTCGACAATTTAACTCTTGAAGTGATGGCCAATCTAAAGTACATTTTTTCTTGAGGAAATATTATGAGATTTGGTAGAGCGCCAACTTCCAAAGAACTTAGCTGAGGGAGCAAGCTGTTATCCTCTTATTCTTCACCCGCTAGCGGTTTTGCAACTACCACTTCCATCTTCTTGCAGTAAATTATGGATAGACCTTTGAGCTTCACCATATATACCTCTGGCAAATGGAAGGAGAGAGCATAAACTCCAAACTGCCACAACCAGAAATGTGTAATGATGTTAATTGAAAGACTCGGATTCAATTGGACTCCCTGATTTGAATCATTTGAGGTTGGGAAATTGAAGATGTTTCGCCCAAATGAGAAAGTGTTGCAGCGTGTTCTTCCTTGGTATTTGACCTATGGACTCAAAAATCTCTTCCAGTCAGCGAATCGCAACCGTATACGTGTAGGTCTCTAAGTTCACAGAAGGAGTAAGGCAGAAGCTGCCTACTTCATAACAGTTGTCCATATCACGAATTTCTAGCGTCTTCAGAGCTGGAAAATCAACGTGAAAACTACATTGAATGTTAAAGTAAATTGTAGCTATGGTTCTTTAATTTTAACTCAATTGGACCAATGGTCCCTCAACTAAAAATCCATTACCATTGGTCCCTCAACTTTAATTAAACAGAAGAAATGATCTCTTAACTTTAACCCAATTGTAGCAATGGTCCTTCCAACATAACTCTTTTTGACAAAAATTTTGACGTAGTTAACAAAAATGACCATAATTACACACTTTGATGAGTTGAGGGACCCTTATTATATAAATGGTTATTCCAACATAACTTATCTTGACGAAATTGATGAAAATGACTATAGCTACACATTTTGATAAGTTGAGGGACCGATGGTAATGGATTTTTAGTTGAGAGACCAATGCTCCAATTTGATTAAAGTTGAGGGACCATTGCTACAATTTACTATTGAATGTTATTAGTACCAACAATGGTTAACAACTAAAACTTGCAGGCATAGAATTCGAGTCATGTGCATACCTTTTCATTGAAAATGTGATTTGGAAATTAACAGTTGGTCCCATAGCTACAAATGATAGAACAAACGTCTTCATGGTAAGGTAGCCAATCACCAGAGTTGTAATCGAACATGACGATGCTGTTAGTAATAGAAGGAAGGACTGTGTTAACTTTTGAAGTTTCTAATCTTTGTATTATGTTAATTGTATTGAGAACAAACACAAGTTACAAATATATAGAGGAGTTTAAGTGAGTTGCAAACTACACTCAACACTTAAGAACCTATCTTAGATCTCCTTGAATCACACTATGTAGCCAGCATAGGAAACATAACTAAGCTCATTGGATTAAGGAGATGACAACAAGATAAGACCCTTATACAAGTTGAGAAGAACAAGTAGAAAACAAACGGCTATTAACTAGGTGAAACACTAATAGGGTTGACACAAACCTTAATACCCAGATAATACCGAGAAACCCTAATCCACAGAAACCCTACATACCCATAGGTCTTTCAATACTTCCCCTCAAGCTGGATCCAGAAGGTTGATGGATCCAAGCTTGCCGAGAAGCCGTTGAAATTGAGGAGAGGCTAATGGTTTAGTGAATAGGTCTGCGAGTTGATCGTAGCTCTTGACAAAATGAGTTTTGATGACCTGTGATTATACTTGTGCACGAACATAGTGACAGTCAACTTCAATGTGCTTGGTTTTCTTGTGGAAGACAGGGTTGGAAGCAATGTAGATTGTTGCCTGATTGTCACAGAAAAGATACATGGACTGAGGAGTGAAGACACCTAGTCGCATAGTATACCTTTTAGCCATATTAGTTCACATGCAGTAGATGTCATGGCTCGATATTCAGCCTCAGTACTGGATCTTGCAACAACTGCTTGCTTTTTACTTTTCCAGGTAACAAGGTTGCCTCCCACAAATATGCAATACCCCGTTGTAGACTTACGATCAATAGAGTTACCAGCCCAATCAACATCACAATAACCTGTGATCTGAGTGCTCTCATTCTTCTTCATGATGATGCCACGACCCACTGAACCTTTTAGGTACTGAAGTAGTCTTTTGACAAGATTAAAATGATCCATCGTGGGAGAGTGCATAAATTGGCTAGCAATGCTTACTGAATAAGCTATGTCAGACCTTGTAATAGTCAAGTATATCAGCTTACCAACAAGACGCTGATAAATAGCTTATGTTTGGAAGTGGTTGCCCCTACAAGCTAAGTTTGAGCTTTGTGTGAAGAGGTGTATGGACAGGTTTAGCATCACTCATGTTTGCTTCCTTAAGAAGGTCCAGAACATATTTCCGTTGGCTGAGAAAGAAACCCTTGTGAGAGGTAGCCATTTTGATGCCAGGAAAATATCTGAGTATTCCAAGATCTTTGATTGCAAAACATTGTTGTAGTGAATGCTTGAGCTAGTTATTTCGTCAGGGTTATCTCCTGTAATGATCAAATCATCTACATATACAAGGACGACCAATTTCCCAGCAGTGCCAATGCGCTCGAACAATGAGGAGTCTGCGTTGCTTCCTTTAAAACCAACAATTGTGAGGACTGAATTGAGCTTGGCATACCAAGCTTTCGGTGACTGTTTAAGACCATAAATTGATTTGTGCAATCTGCACACAATATCAGGTTCATGACTTTGAGGATGACTTGGGGGTAACGTCATGTAGACTTCTTCTTTAAGCTCACCATGTAAAAAGGCGTTCTTTACATCCATTTGATACATAGGCCACCCTTTGTTACCAGCAACTGAAAGGAGTACTCTCATAGAGTTCATCTTTGCAACAAGAGCAAATGTTTCTTTGTAGTCCACATCAAATGTTCGAGTAAAGCCACGAGCCACTAATCTTGCCTTGTGTCTTTCTATGGACTGATCTGAGTTGAATTTAACCTTGTATATCCACCTGCAACCTACTGTCTTATTTCCCTTAGGCAATGTCACAATGCTCCAGGTTTTATGTTGATCAAGAGCATGCAGTTCATCTTGCATAGCTTGCTGCCAAACCTGTGATTGATTTGCTTCTTGAAATGACTGAGGCTCAACATGCTCAGATATATTACAAAGAAAAACAGTGTGTTTAGGTGACAATTTTTTATAGGACACGTAGTGGGAGTGGCTTGTAAGTGACAAAGTCTTGCAGTCTTGCTGGAGCATATCTTTTACGAATGGGATTGTGTCGAGGCGCAGTAGAATGAGACTCGTATGAAGATTCCTCAGGAGCAATACTGTGGAGAGATTCATTTTCAACAGAAGTGTTGGTCTCATCACTTGAAGCTGGGTTGTCAATTTTAGCGAGGAACTTTGTGTGATGTACAGGCACCATTGCATTAGGTTGAGTGACTTCAATGGCAAGGGTCTCAGTTCTTGGCAATGGAAACATATCCAAGCAATACTCCCCCTCACTTGTACTATCCAGAGACTTGCTGTAATAAGGGTTAGTTTCATGAAATCCAACATCCTTGGAAACAATTAATCTCTTAAGTTGTGGATTGTAACATTTGTATCCTTTTTGTGTGGATAAGTAACCAAGGAAAATGCATTTGGTTGCCCTAGGGTCAAGTTTGTCTCGATGCAAGGACTGAACATGGACAAAACAAATGCATCCAAAGACCTTAAGGTGTGACAAGTCTAATTTTCTGTTTTTGACAATTTCCATTGGTGATTTGAACCCCAAAACCCTACTAGGTAACCTATTGATCAATTAAGTTGCTGCCATAACACTTTGAGACCAAAAACGTTTAGGTACATTCATTTGGAACATCAATGACCTAGTTTTTTCAAGAAGATCTCAATTTTTTCTCTCGGCAATACCATTTTGTTGAGGTATGCCAACACAACTAGTTTGATGCATGATGCCATTGTTGCTCAAATATTGAGTCATGATTTGGGACATGTATTCAGTGCCATTATCAGACCTTAGAGTTTTGATTTGAGAGGAAAAGTGATTTTTAACAAGACTATGAAAATCTTTAAACACTTCCATCACTTCACTCTTTGATTTTAACAAATATAGCCAAGTTGCTCTTGAATAGTCATCAACAAACGTTATGAAATATTTGTAACCATCAAAAGACTCACTAGTTGGTCCCCATATATCTGAGTGTACAAGTTCAAAAAGATGAAAAACCCTAGACAAAGATGAACCTAGGGGTAGTTTAGTTGCCTTTGACATATGGAAAATTTCACAATGAATTGGTTATTTGCCTAAGTTAGGAAACAAGGTGGACAAAACATGTTGAGAAGGGTGAGCTAGTCGCTGGTGCCACAAAAAATGATTTTGAATGGAGGCATGGATGGATATAGACTTGGCTTGTAATCCAATGGGAGAGCTTTTCAATATGTAATAGAGACCATCTAGGTAAAATCCCTCACCAATCTTCCTCTTGGTGACACGATCCTAAAAAATGACATTTTCTGGTGAAAATATGGCTAAACAGTTTAAGGAATTTGTGATTTGTCCCACTAAGAGAAGTTGAAATGGAAATAAAGGAACATATAAGGCCATAGACTCTACTTGGTCTGATATCAAGTGAATTTTTCCCTTTCCTACAATCCTAGCACCTTCACCATTAGCTACAGACACATGTGATGGTTTATGAAGTTTCTCAAATTTATGCAATTTTGACACTTGATTAGTCATATGATATGTGGCACCTGAATCTACAACCCAAAAGTCATGCAACTCATTAATTTTAAGAGCAGTTTTGAAAGCATCCACGATACCTTTCATGTCTTGTTGAGGTAAGCAATCAGCATCGGCCAGAAACCCTGAAAACTTGCCAAGCAATGCAGTGGCACTTCCATCTTCATGGTCAATAGCTCGATCTTCCTTACCTTTCTTCTGATGGAGATAGGCTGCGAACTCATTTATAAGAGTAGCAGGATTTGCAGTGAACTGTTTGTATGGATCAAAACTATTGAAAGATGAAGATGATGTAGTGTTGGCACGAGGATATGCTCGACTTGTCTTCTGCGTAGTTTTATCTTTCATGAAATCCGACTTCAGTTCTAGATGCAGGATCCAGCACTTATCTCTCACATGCCCGATGTTGTCACAGTGTAGGCACTTCAGATGAGGGTTTTTTCCTTTTTTCATTTGTCAGATAAACCCTAGCTTCAGTCACAATGGTTTTTGTACCACTGTTCATGACTTTTCTTCTTACTTCCTCACGTTGGATGGTTGCACAAATGCTAGTGAAGGATGGTAGCTCAGGATTCATGAGGATATGGCTTCTCAAATCCTTATATTCTGAGCTCAAGCTTTGAAACATCTTATCTTCTTCAGCTCTTTTAAGAAGCACAGTGGGATCAATGGTGTGAGGTCTATAGACATCCAGCTCATTCCACATGCTTCTCAGAGAACCAAGATGTTGTACAAAGGTTTTACCTTCTTGTTGAATGTTGGAGATATCCTTCTTGAGTTGAAAGATGCGTGCAGAATTGTTTTGATTACCATACATCTCCTTCACAGTTGTCCAGAGAGTGAGAGATAACTTAGAATAGCTAAAGATTTCAGCAATCTTCCTTTCCATAGAATTAAGCAGCCATGACATGACCAGTTGATCTTTACAAAGCCACCCTCCATATTCAAGAGAAGTAACTCCAGGAGCAGGATGACTGCCATCGATGAAACCAAGTTTGGATCTTCCACCAAGTGCAAGACTAACCGCTCTTGCCCGTGGAAAATAATTAAACTCATTCAGTAACACTAAACTAAGTCGTTGATTTGGATTGATATCCATTTCAGAGATGTAAACAGAAGGATAAGCAATGGTACTTTCATCCTTTGAATTCTCATCAGCCATATTCTTGCTAAAGGAAAATCACAACAAGTGAGATATACAAAGACAGGCTCAGAGGGATGCCTGCTCTGATACCATGTTGACTTTTGAAGTTTCTAATATTTGTATTATGTTAATCGTATTGAGAACAAACACAAGTTACAAATACATAGAGGAGTTTGAGTGAGTTGCAAACTACACTCAACACTCAAGAATCTATCCTAGATCTCCTTGAATCACGCTATGTAGCCGGCACAGGAAACATAACTAGGCTCCTTGGATTAAGGAGATGACAACAAGATAAGACCCTTATACAAGTTGAGAAGAACAAGAAGAAAACAAACGGCTATTAACTAGGTAAAACACTAATAAGGTTGATGCAAACCCTATTACCCAGATAATCCAGAGAAACCCTAACTAACCAAAGGTCTTTCAATAGACCGTGTATGGGTTTATAAGTAAATTGGGTTACTCTCTATTCTGTCAATTGGTTTTATGGTGGAACCCCTACTTCTTTATGATATAAGACTAGGTTGTACCATGTGTGAAGTCCAACGACCACACGTGCTTTACGACACCAATTTATGTGTTGTTCATGTATTTGGCTTGAAAATTTGTCACATGTGAAAGGGCGTGTGAGAATGTGAAGGTTTAGGGTAAAAAGAGAAATCTTGCAACGATTTGTAAGTAAGTTAGGCTACTCACTATATTGCCAATTAGTTTTATAGTGGAATCTCAACTTTCTTCGTGGTAATCATAACAGTAAGAGAAGAAAAGAGTTGAAGAGGGAAGTAAAGGCTCTATACTTCTTCGCAGTGAAAGAGAAAGTTTACAATTGATCTTATCTTATACAAACGAGAGAATAGAGTATTTATAGTCTCACAATCTTAGCTTTAATACTAAGCTGACTTTACTAGGTATTGGATTTTCATCGGGGATGCTTCATTGTTGTGGTTGTATATCTCCTAAAGTTGTAAAATTAAAATAAATAAATAAACAAAATGACTCTGGACCCGGAGGAATGGGTCCATTTTAAACCGATCGAGTTAGGTCTAGTTCCATTTTCAAACGAATCTGGTCTATCCCACTAAATTTGTGCCTGGCCCAGCTTACCCCGGGTCCACTCCTAATCCACATACTTTATTCTTGAATGAAAAACCGGATTAAGACCAAGTGCAATGGCAAATTGATTTTCATAATTAAGAACAGGAGGATTGGGCAATCACATATGCATATCCTTCAAAACCAAAATTAACCAAGCAATATCAGCCGATGCATGCGCTAAAGGTTTGTACT